CACTACCCCTGTGGTGTCACACACCTCTTTGCAGTCAGACAGCTTCCTGTTTAAGTTCTTGCTCCCTTCTGCTTTCAACAGCTTCCAGAGGCTCCGGCTGAGCCTCTCGCAGTATTTGTGAGCCTTGTACAGGATCCCACCTGAGGCTGATCCTGCTCTAGGTCTTTTAAGGAAACCGTTCATCTCCCACCAGGTAAATTCTGACTCTTCAAAAGGAATGGTGGGTTCGGCTGGTTTAACATGTGTAGTCATGTAGTCTGGGGCCTCTATGGGTCCTTACAAATATTCTTCCAGCTCCTCTTTGGTTAAATCCAGCTTTCATGATCTTTTATCCATACTTAATGCTGACGGTAAGGATTAAAGTTTAGCGTTGGGTTTGCACTGAGGTTGAGATATTTGAATATATCTGAATATAATAGGTACTTCAGTACAGTGTTGTAGTGTTAATGAAACACTACTACAATGCTAATGAAGTAAGTGCTTCCTGTTTATTCAGTTAACCAGTTTAAAAATTAAGCTGCAGTGCCACAGTGTGAACTACTTTGACACAAACCAGGGGAAACGTGGAAGGATGTCACAGGGAAGTGCATTTTAAAGTTCCTAACACAAAGGGTTGTGGGAGAATGTTACAGAAAGTAGAAAGTTAGTGAATTGAGTGTGTAATAAACGTTTACAGATGAAATATCTGACTTTTTTGTGCAGCGTTAAGATCAGTTAGGTTGCAGAACAGTACGTGCCCTCTGAAGCCTATTAGAGCCACGGAGAAACAAATAACTCGTTTATAGGATAGTATAGTATAGGTTTTTAAACTCTTTAAACATTGAACGGAATACATTTACCATTACTTGACAGTCAGCTTCACATCGAGGAGAACATACGTTTGGAAACCCGTGACATTTGTACTTGTCACAGAAACAATACGCGTTTAATCTGGGAAAGCTTATTGACACGGTGTTGAGCTTCATGTATACAAAAGACAGAACTCGTGCTACTTTCGTATTTTTTTTTCAAAAAAGAGCAGTGTGACGATATTCCACTTTTGTTAAAGTCAATGCTACTTTGGACGGGACAATATTATTGCATATACAGTACAATACAATATACAGTATTAATGTGGTAGGCAGCATTGTTCAGAAATTAACTATTTGTGTTTAAACGGAATAATTTTCTCATGCTGTGATTACCCTGATGGCCATGGGAAAATAGGATTTTGAATCATGTAACTCATGGGGGCTTCTGAAAACAATTTCTTCCACAAGTTTTCAGCTGGAAGAAAAAAAAAAGCTACCGTCGCCGTCAGTCTGTAACCACGCCCACAGGAATGACATCCCTCGGAGGCCACGCCCCGCTCACCTGTCCGCCTCGTTCTGCGAGAGAGAGGGGAGCTGGGTGAGTTTGCTCCGCGTCTTTAGTTTTATTTTTATTTTATTGTAAATAAAATTTAACTCGTATAATTATGTAGTCTAAACCTTGCAGGAGAAAGGGCAAAACACGTTTTTTTCGTTGAGAAGTAAATAGCAATTGTTTTATTTTCCAAAGCTTCTCTTATTCTTAATATGCCGTTTGTTTTACACAGAAAATGTGTGTTTTTCTCTCACATCGAAGACAAGCTCTTTTGTAGCAATAAGAACACTGTTGTGTTGGCAGAACGAAAACGTCGCCTTATGTTTCTTTATTTTTAATCCGTCTTTTTCAAGTACTTCGTGAACTTTGTTCACAAAATCAAGCGTGTGCATTTATCCAAACCAAAAGTAGCCCTGCTAGAATTTATAAAGTTTTTTTCCCTTATTTTCCAGAGTATGTTATGTGATGATGTTCTTATATTCGTGGTAAACATTTCTCTTGCAACTAATACTTTTTAGTTTAAATGGTTTTTCAATTCTAAATTCTGCCGTTTTGCGTTTTTACGTCTAGTGTCTTCGGGTAGGACGCAATTCACACGAAATAATGGAAGTACAA